CCCATTTCGTGATATAAGCATCTCCTAATCAGATATATTATATACAAGATGCTTTATTTTTGATAAATTCACATCCATGTTAAGTACTTATTATTGGCATCCTCAATATGACTTACAACTTCAACAACCCATGATGAATGGCCACTCTGCAGATCCGTGAAATATACGGAGTGGATGAAAAATCAATGGTCTTTGCTAATAACTTCTCAAGAGTAGTATGTGCAGATTCTTGTGACCCATTTTATTGACCCTGTTTCATAACGACATTATAATCAATAAAACTAATTTGAACCATTCGATGCAGTATATTTTAAATAACATGTTAGATCCATAAATTCGAGATGTGGAAGTCCCCTTTGGTCTCGCCTTTCAATAGCGATTTCATTTGGTTCTCCCTCAAGTCGTACCATATTTTGTATATTGAATGCTGAATGACACGTAAAACAATTCAATCGGCGACGATTAGCCATTTTTCAAATAATTATTACTTTGACTTCTGTAAGAACTTGACAGATGCAATAGTTGCAAATGACAATGTTAAACAGATGAATATAGTTGCTATGTGCCTGCCATATTACATTATTTGAACCAGAGCAATCTTAATATGATCAAGATGAACGTGGAGTCCATCATGAGAAGAGATCACCGTAATTGAATGAAATCAAAGATTCATTCGGCATTTGTAAGAATTTATCATTCGTCCTCACTCAATATTCTATTATTTTATACAGGGTGTCAATTTGAAAACTTCCCACCCTCAATATCTCCCTCCAAGTCGATAATATGGAAAAACGAAAAGACAGGTCGATTTTATTTTCGAGGGGGACACTTCGAATGAATCATTTTGACCCTCATGGTTCAACCCCCTAGGAGGGGTAGATGTTACCCTCAGAATATGAATAGGGAAGAGGGGTCAAGTGGCACATCATTTTGAATGGCGTTCAATTCTCTTTCCAACGGTACCCTACTTTACTATTTTTTGACGAGCAATTTCTGAAAAATACCTACAGAAGTGATCTAAACTTGCCTGCACAAAGATGCATGATTTTCAGGTTAGTATTCGAACAGAGATTTTTGTATTGATTCTCCTTTCAGTAAAACTGGACAGGAAAACAGGTAACAACCTCACATCTTTTCAACAGGGGCAACATAATTAGCCATCAGCTCCAATAAATCAACATCAATAATCTAATAGTGACATTTCGATGATAGCTTATTTGCGTTTATCATTGGATTTTCAATTCTACAGATGGCCTTCCTTTTTTGTTCCTTTCTTGCCACTGCTGATTTAAAAAAACTTAATTTTTTGAGCAAAAAATTGTTCAGCAAATTCAAACGATCTGGTAGTATTATTGATTGATGAGTTTCATTTGTTGAGCTAATCAGTAATACGTTTATTCAGAGTAGGTACCTATAATTGTGAAAATGGTTTACACTCTTTCAAATAGAACTGAAATGATTGTGATTTATGGAGAGGCTAGAAAGTGCGCACGAAGAGCGGCATTTCTTTTTAATGAAAGAAATCCAGATTGTAATGTTAGTCACCGGTATGTGCTTGATTTGGTGGAAAAGTTTTACGAAACTGGTTCGGTGAAAAATAAAAAAAGGAATAATCCTAGAGTACTGAATGAAGAAGCTCAAATTGAAGTTTTGGGAACATTTGCTGCAGAACCTACTAGCTCCTTACGTTCAGTGGCAGAACAGACGGGAATGTCACACGAGACTGTGAGAAAAGCACTGAAATTACATACATTTCATCCATATAAGATGCAGATTCTTCAAGAGCTCCATGAGGATGATTATGATAGAAGAATAGAATTTTGTGAAACGATGTCAAATCGAGTCAATGCCATCCCTAATCTATTATTAAATATCTGTTTCAGCGATGAATGTTCATTTTTTCTGAATGAAAATGTGAATAGACAAAATTGTCGCTATTGGAGTGACGAAAACCCTCACATTTTTCGAGAAGGACATACACAACAACCACAAAAAATTAATGTTTGGGCTGGTATTCTTGGAAATGCCATTGTTGGTCCTTTATTCATTGAAGAAAATTTGACTGGAAATCTGTACCTAGATATGCTTGAAGATACTATCGATCCTCTTATAACTCACGAGCTAGAAAATCAAATTGATGCAGACGGTAATTTACTTCTGCAGGAGGATCTGTTACATTTCCAGCAGGACGGTGCCCCACCTCATTATTTTCTTCCTGTCCGACAGTGGTTAAATGACAGATTCCCGGATAGATGGATTGGCAGAAGGGGAGCAACTGAGTGGCCTCCGAGATCACCGGATTTGACTCCTTTAGATTTTTTCCTTTGGGGACATCTTAAATCCGTCATTTACATAACACAACCGACGGATATTGATGAACTCAAAGGACGAATTACAGCAGCACGCCGCTCGATTCGTGGTGAAGTTTTCCAGAATGTTAGAGAGGAGTTCGAAAACAGACTTTATTACTGTTTAGAACAAAATGGACAACATTTCGAACAGTTTATAAGATAGTACGTGAATAGATGTTTGAAATTTCTATCTGGCACTCTGAGAGTTTTTTTTCAAAGTAATATAACCAACAAACAAAAAATCAAACGTGTGTAGACTAGATTTATTTCTATTGTAACGATGCCACCTAACCTTCTAACCATTTTCATCAATGGAAGATTCAAAACAATAATTTTCGTCCTGAAGACAATGTATCTGAGTTAAGGCAAGTTCTAATCACTGGTTATCAAAAAATAGTAAAGTAAGATATACCGTTGAAAAGAAAGATATTATGTTGCCCCTGTTGAAAAGATGTGAAGTTGTTACCTAATTTCCTGACTAGTTTTACTGAAAGGAGAATCAATTCGAAAATGTCTGTTCAAATACTAACCTGAAAATCATGCATCTTTGTGCAGGCAAGTTTAGATCACTTCTGTAGATTTAGAACGCTATTTTTCAGAAATTGCTCGTCAAAAAATAGTAAAGTAGGGTATCGTTGGAAAGAGAATTGAACGCCCTACAAAATGATGTGCCACTTGACCCCTCTTCCCTATTCATATTCTGAGGGTGACATCTACCCCTCCTAGGGGGTTGAACCATGATGGTCAAAAATATCAATTCAAAGTGTCCCCCTCGAGAATAAAATCGACCTGTCTTTTCGTTTTTCCATATTAACGACTTGGAGGGAGATATTAAGGGTGGGAAGTTTTCAAATTGACACCCTGTATAACCATGATTTCATGATGATATGTGTGTATGTTTCCAACTGATTTATAAATTCATTTGTTAAATACTGTCTGTAGGTTAATTGAGGAGGTGAAATATTCATCATTATACTGGTGAATTTTTGTTTTAGGCTCTTTGATAGTGACATCTTTGGGGCAAATCATCTGATTTGTCCTTACTACACGTATATTGAAATGATACTCATATTTTTATTTTATAGAAACGAGGTGAGAAAATCCCAAAAAATCTGGAATAATTTATATATTTATGTTTATTGAAACTAATATAGCTGCTTCTATCTTTATTGAGTACGTTATAAACTCGGCTATGAAGTCAGGAGTACTTTTCAAATATAATAACTATGCCATCGTGTTGATTTTCATACTACCTTATAAACCAACCAGATAGTATTGTTTGTTACATTAGGTATGTATTTTAGATAGTTGGGTTCATCTTTATATGTATTTTTGTATGCATGTCTGTTTGGCTCAAGAGACGCCAATGTATAATTAGCCAATTTGATGTTAGAAAGGGCTATCAGAGTCAATTTAGTATAAGCCACGATATAGAAGCAGAAAACCTACCAGGTGAAATTGGCAGGATCTCATATGAAAGATGTATATGATATCACGATGAAAATCAATTTCAATTCAAATACGAACGCTCATGGATTTTTACGAATGAGAATTCACTCAAGCTTCCGTAATTCCAAGAAATAACAATAAATTGTGGATCGCATTCAATGCCGGAAGACATTGATGATTGTTTCACTATCACCTGAAAAACCTATGATACCTGCATATTATCAAAAATATACTACATCGAATGGTTCAAATTATTTTCATTGAATATAATGTCGTTATGAAACAGGGTCAATAAAATGGGCCAAAAGAATCTGCACATACTACTCTTGAGAAATTATTAGAAGACCATTGATTTTTCGTCCACTCCGTATATTCCAAGTATTTGCAGGGTGAACATTCATCATGGAATGAACGAGATTCCCAATAGGTTGTTCAAGTTGTAAGTCATAATGAGGATGCCAATAATAGTTACCTAAAATGGATGTGACTTTATCAAAAATAAAACATCTTGTATATAATATGTCTGATTAGGAGATGCTAATATCACGAAATGGGGATGATATTTGTATACTACAGAATTTAAATGAGATTCCACCGCACAGTTTTCAGAAAATCACTGTTCCGACCAACCCTGTATATTGTTGGCACGTGCAGGAATCATTATACTTTATAGTAGATTCGTATCGGTCATTCGAACAATCAATGCACAGTTGATTTAGTTTCGAAATTATGAAAGGTGTCTTCACAATTATTATCTAAAATTCTGGAAAAGTCAACTTTATCACCCTATATAATCGTAACTGTTGATTTTAGAGCGTTGGTGCAATGGAGACATTTGATCAGCACCACGAGTTCTACAATATATCAAAAATTCGAGTAAATTCACCGAAAGCCAATTTCCCATTGATGCGGTGCGGGGTCCTTTCTTCTGACTTTCATTACTTTCATTGATATGCAATATACAATGTGTATAATGATTTTCAGCCTTAGTAAATTCATTGCATTACCTCGGTAGGAACGACAACTTCGATAGTATACCAGGGACACCAGTTCTCAGTTTCGCTTGACTGACCGCAGTATGTTCGTGTACAAAACCACTGTAATAAACTGTGAAAAAACTAGGCTTAGTAAATTCAGAGAATCTTTTTGGCTCTGGCTGTCCGTCTATAACTACTTGTCAATGTTTTGTTTTGTCCGCAGAGACCTGAAACCGGCCAATATCCTGGTGATGGGCGAGGGACCTGAAAGAGGCAGGGTAAAAATAGCGGACATGGGGTTTGCCAGATTGTTCAACGCACCCCTCAAGCCGCTGGCCGATCTCGACCCTGTCGTGGTGACATTTTGGTATCGCGCCCCCGAGCTGTTGCTAGGCGCCAGGCACTACACCAAAGCAATAGGTAGTAACAGTGATATAATAATAATAATAATACGTTTATTATTTCCCAAAAAAACATGACAAGTATAAGGTTGTAGGTTCAGCATACTTAATGTGGCGAATAAATTGCCAGAGTTCAGTTACATTCAATGAACTCAATATAAACACCTGGAAGGGAGACGGCCGTTCTCTCGAATAGCACAAAGTGTGTCAGGGGCAGCTGCAACAAAGATAGCATGATTTACAGTAACCTGTCTCTTTCCTACTCGTGTTGTTTGATGGTGGATTGGTGTTTACATTTTCATTTATCTAATAATTAAAGTACTTTGGATTTTTTTCTCTCATCTAAACAGGCAAGAAAGTGAAGACATGAGTTCATTGTCTTTGTTTATGTGAAATATCTATTCATGTGGGGTGTTTTGTTTTATAAAACGGACTGAATTTGTTGGTGTGAACACTGTGAACTGATTGTTGAGAAGGTTTTGATTAACAAATGGTGATTTATTGTGTCGCCTTTGGATGCAAGAACGAGCAAGACAAAAGGATATTGTCATTCCATGGGTAAGTTCAGATTTTTTGGAAATATAGTTCTTGAAATGATCATCAGCTAGGTATACAATGTTCCCAGTCTCAGAATATGTTCAAAATTATACCTATATTATTTGTCAAAGTTAAATACTTCCATGATTTTTCCATAAACATATTGAGTAATATTATTTCTTGCAGTTTTCCATTCAGACATCCTTGAATTATGGATTAAGGCAGTTCGTAGAGAGAGTTGGACTTCATCTAAAACCAGCAAGCTTTGTGGAGAGCATTTCCTGCCAACTGATTATTTATTTAGACATACCAGGTACTGCTAGGTTATTGAAACCAGATGCTGTACCCAGTATAATATATCCATTTCCTAAGCATTTGTTACCAAAAAATACTGATCCTTGAAGGAAAATAAGAAAACTCAAAGATACCTAGTTGATTATTAATAAAAAAAAGTATGTTTGCACCACTTTGAAATAAAAAACTAGGTAGTAATTTATTTTCAGGATGCATCTGTGGAAGTTCATAACTTAGGTCCTAAGTAAGATGTTTCTCATATTATGGACTTTACCTTTGACTTCCAGCACGATGTTCTTTGAACATTATAGGGATTCCCTTTCGTGCGCTCCAAGCGATAAAAAAAAAGAAACCCAAACTGTTCCATTGGAGAAGGATATTGTATTGAGAATTGTATTTTTTAATTTCTAATAGGGATATGTTTGTAGGCAGTGACCTAATGGTAAAATAGGAACCTATGGAAATTATGCTCAAAATGGACCTCAGGTAGTCAATACTATTCAATAAATAAATAAAAGCAAAAAACGAGAAAATATTTCAATGCGAGCGCTTCCTATTAGCGAACATAAGATAGAGAGAGATAGGTGTCCGTAAACACTGCGGGTTGCCTGAACAAATATTTTTGCTTCATTCGCCTTTCACAGAGGGTCCTTTCCAGTTGTTTATATTAAGTTCATTGGTTACATTCTACCAAGTAGATTGAAACTGTTCTTCCATTCTGGCCAGACCTGAACCTAACAAGACACTATAAATCTAACGGCTAAAGAACCTTAGAGCATTAGTATAGTATATGAAGAGTTGAGAAGAAGAGTAAGAGAGAAAAAGAAGAGGGAAAAAAAGGAAAGAGACAAGTATGCACAGCAGGAGGATCACTAAAAATAAATAGAAGCGATTCAATCTCATATATTTACACCAAACATGAATCAGAAATTCTGGAGTTGAAGCAGTTGTTTCGTTACCATACTTTTAAATGATTTAAGCGAACGACTGAGATTTGTGACACGAAGAGCATTAATATGATGGGCGATGTTGTAAGAGAAACTTCTTTTATAAATTTATTTCATATGTCTAGGCACAGTAATAAGACTAGAGTGACGAATATTGAAGTTATGAATATCACTTCTGAAAGAGATTTTATTATACAGGTATTCCGGCTTTTTTGTTTTCAGCACTTTGTAGTAGCTACAAACCATTTGCAATTTACGTCTATTAAGCATGTTCAGCCAATTAACATCTTTCAACTTATGAGAAATCCTCTCTTCCGTCTGCTGATACCAAAAATGTACAGGAATTCTGAACTTCTTGAATGCGTTTTATATCAACAACATCTAAGCAAGGTCCGTAGACAGTATCGCAGTAATTGAGCTGGGATAACACCAATGACTCACAAAGCATTTTTTTGATATCTTGTTCAAGAGAGTGCCTAAGAGGGTAAATCATTTTCAGATTAGAATAGCATTTCTTCAGCATATGCTTGAAATGTTCTTTGAATCTAAGTATATAATCGATTATTAACCCCTGATTTACATGGATTGATTTTGAGTAGATGTGCCTCACAGGTACGAAGTAGGGAATTCAAATCTAAATTGATCAGGTTATTGAAGTGTATACTATCCAAAGCGTTGAAAGTAAGATACAATTGGGTATCATCAGCATACATGTGGTGGTTACAATATTGTAAACTTTCCGGATAGGTGGAAGTGCGAACAGTGTGAATAAAAGCGGACCTAATATGCTACCTTGAGGTAAGCCACATGATACATCTAAGGCCTGTGATACTTCATCATTCAAAATCACCTTTTGACTTCGGTCAGTCAAATATGAACTCATTAACTCACATGCAGACTCACTGAATCCAAGAAAATGCAATTTAGATAATAATTCACGGTTAATCAAATCGAAGGCTTTCGAAAAGTCAATTAAAATAAGAATAGTTGCTTTGCTCTCATCTCAGTGGTATGACGTTCGCAACTTTATACATGCGTGGAAAATGCGATTGCTGCAGACATTCATTCAGAATATAATATAGCAATACCAGTCAGACGAACTAGACAAGCCCAGTCAGCACATCCCTTCGTTGTCAACCTCGAAAGATGCCGAACAGCACTTTATCAAAACTCCTTCATCCATAGAACGGCTGGGCTCTGGAATTCATTGCCTGAGGAAGTATTCCCAACAACATATAATCTCCAGAAGTTCAAAAAAAATTCCAATACCTACCTCCTATCCCTATCCTCCCTAGGAACGCACGATGTTCTTTGAACATTATAGGGATTCCCTCTCGTGCGCTCCAAGCGATAAAAAAAAAAAAAAAAAAAAAAAAAAAAAAAAAAAAAAAAAAAAAAAAAAAAATTGATGAAAGGAATTATGAAAGGGCAGCATAGAGTTAACAAAGTAATATTTAGTCGATCACTATGAAAGGATCTAGATGAAATATTCTGAATTATATTAAGCACAGTCTATTCATCCACTATTTCAAAAGAAAAACTCATTTATTCCAATCTTCCTATTGTTAGTGTAATGGTTAATTAATTCCGCACTAGGAGCAATCGCATTACTAGAGAGGTCAACAAAGTATTCATTCAACGCGTTCACATCAGATATATTTTTAGGTAATTCATCGTGTCTAGATTTACTAATATTCAAATTTCATTTTGAGGTAAACTTTTTTTTCAGATAAGTTGCGTGCAAGAACTGTCAGATGACCGACCCTGGAGGTGAAACATTGAAACACAACCTCACTTTTCTCATCTGTTTATAAATGATTGAAATAGTTTTTAACAATTATTTTGGCATACAAATCATGTTTTTTGGTTATTCATTAATTCGCGAATGCCATCACATTGTGCTGTTGTACAATGCACAAAAAATGTAGGGAGATATGAAGGAATCCGGTTAGTATATTATGATTTGAAAGTAAGTACCTACTATTGTCACTCACATATAGTTTTCATTTCAAAATTTGGTAATTTCTCTGATTTATCATCAGAGTTCTTTCTGCAATAGGAGTTAATAGAAATACTCGTGAAATTTCCAAAAGAATGCAACAAGATTGGATTCACGCAATCAAACAGGAGGACTGGTCTGACATGCTGACGAAATATGTTTTTATTTTCAATCTATTAGCAGTATTAGCTTCTATTGCAGAAGTGGCAGAAGGTATTTTAATAAGAAATGACAAAATTTCATAATGAAAACTATGTGAGATTTCTATTTACTTGAAAAATCACATTCCTTCGTCTCTCGCTGCGTTTTTTGTGTATTGTACAACAGCACAATGAGAAGGCATGCTTGAATTAATTAATAGCGCAAAAAACACGATTCGTATGCCAAAATATTGTGAAAAACTATTTCAATTATTTGATTCCTCTGTAGACAAATAAAAAAAGTTTGTGTTTCAATGTTTCACAGAAGAGTGGGTTTTTGTTTCAATATTTTACCCCCAGGGTCGGTCATCGTGCACGCGACCTATTCTTTCTAATCAATCAATCGTTTATTGGTGTTATTGTACAACAAAAATGTATGTACACAGTTCAAATATCATACAAAAAAATATATATCCATTTAAAATGTCTCAAAAACTACACATTTTAAAATGGGTCTGTTTCAGTAAAGAATTAATTGTATTTCATTATTTCGAAGTACTAACCTTAACTAGTTCACTGTCGCTGACCGTTTTTTCCATAGAGCTCTGTAATTTTTTTAAATTATTCAAATTCACTATATTTTATAACATGAAAAACGCGGGAAACGCGCTACGTAATCATCCGAGAACACCAGATTCGACTTACGAATCAATTCTCCATTTCTAAAAAAAGGGTTTTATTTCCATAACTAGTGCATATCTTACAATTTATTAAACAGATCTCTTAATGAGTCATGATTTATATCACATATATGGGAAATTTTGTTGAAGTTATTACACATAATATGAATTTGGGATTCCAGCATAATTCTTGTTCTAGTAGAAACATTGTAGAACATTTTTGATTGTCTACTGTTCAATCTTGGAATGAGAAAGCTTATTTGATTCAGAAGTACAGAGCAATCGATTTGGTTATCCATTAATTTGTGAAGAAATGTCACACTCAAAATTATTCGTCGTCTTTCTAGAGAGATTCCTGATAGACAAGTACAAGAATATTTCTGATTGTCATTTCAATCAGAATATGGAATGCATTTTGGATT